TTTTTTTTTTTTCTGCCGGATTAGGATATCATAACCGATTATAGGCACGAAGGGAAAAAAGGAGGAAGTGGAAGTTTAGTAGTTGAATAGCAGAAACAGAGGACAACCGCTGGAAGGCAGACAGAAGTATACTGAGAGCATGCATGTAGGGCTGAACATGGCAGGTGTTGGTCTTTGTCCGTCCAAACCGTATCCATTGATGACGGATACACATTCCTCAATAGATCTCGTATTTGCATATAATCCGATTACGGTCACATATAACAGCCATATATCGCCATATATCACTGTTGTGCAACCAGCGACCAGAAGATTGTTTTTTTTTTCTATTTATAAATATATCGTATATTGATGTCCGCTATTATACTATGGTTATAAGAGTATGGAAGATTACAAACAACAAAACAATAAAAATAACATGGAGAAAAAAAGAGAAGGAAATAACAGATTTATTATGATCTAAATCTGCTCCCTATCTTTGTTTGTTTTTTAGTTTCATTAATGCTGGAATATGCAGTTGAGGAAAATACGTTTTCTTGCATAATTGCTATTTTATCCAAAAAAACTATAACAAAGAAAAAAAGGAAGATAATTGAAAGGGAAAACAAAAACCTGCAGGAGAAAAAGTGTAACATTGAAAGTAAATCTTTCCTTTGCAAGCTAATCTTTAACAGCTATCCAGTTTTAGCTTAAACCTAATACAAGGTACTAATTAATAAACTGTAGTAGTAGTAGTAACCTATCATATTCAAAAACTTTTAATGCTTAAGAATCAAAAAATTTTTGAAAAAATCATTGAATAAATAATATTTAGATTTACAGATTTGCAGGTTATACAGATTAAGAGTATTTCGTTACTTCTTTTCTGCATTTAAAAAACAGATTTTTTTAATAAAATTGTGCTAAACGGAAGACAAGAAGCTGTTAAATTAAAAAAAAAACTTAATAATGCCAGAAATCAATCTTGACAGTACAAAGAAAAAAGAAGTTGAAATTTTCCTTTTCTCATTTCTCTTTCCTTAAATTCTTACAGTAATGAAATATAAATACCAATAAAATTAATGTCCATTTATTAGAGGCGTCACCTTCTAAATATCTAATTGTGGTAATTAAACCGAACACGTTTATTCACCGCTTTATCGCCTTTATGTTGAGCATTTCAAATTAAAGTTTTTAACTAGAATTTGTTAGAGAAAATGATTTTAAAAAGTTATATTTGCTTAACTGCTTCACAAACAAACTATCGCATTCAAGTGAGCTGTTAGAATAAATGCTGTGACTTAAGAAACATAATGTTAGTTGAAAACCACTGTAAAAAGTGTGAAAAAAATGCTGTAAACCGTGTCGTTCATTCAGAGTTCTGCATTTTCTTTTAAAAAAATTTCTCACCAACACTTCAGAAAAGTACAGTTATAGTGATCAAATAACATCGCTTAGGCACTGCCTAAACACTAAAGAGATATCAGAAACAAAAACTAAAAACTGCTTCCTTTTCCCAAAAAAAGATTGATATCGTAACTGAAACTATTAATAAACCTTTATCCAAGAAAAAAATTATTACATTTGTAAAATTTTTGTTAATATTCAACACTTTCCATTCCACGTATTAGTGTTTTTTTTTTTTTGGTTTTTTTTTAGTTTGGAACATAAATCATCGATTAAATTTGTTTGAGAAAAAAACGTTTAGTAAAACCCATGAGACAAGAAGTGCGGATATGTCAAATTGTAAGTTGAAGCTATAATTTGTAAAAGCAAATTGAAGGATAAGCGAAATAAAAAAGAAATAAACGTTATTAGCTTGTTGAACACTTCCAAATTAATCCTTTTTTCGGCCAAAAAAAAGGAAGTGCAAACATCTAAGAAATTTAAAAAAAAAAAAAAAAACAACGAGGAAAAACCGCCAGTTTGAACTTTCTGCAATTCGATAATCATAACCTTGATATAAAGAATGACCTCAGGCTTCTTCTTCTTCAAGCAAACCGTAGCAGTCGATGCTGTATCAGAATGATATCAGACGTCCCCCTGTTGAGGTTTCTTTGTACAACGCTCAGCCCAGTAAACGACGCTATGTGCTATTCTAGCAGACTTTCTAAATATGTTAAAAAATTATATATCCAGTAACAAGAACGTTTTCGTGTTTGTCGTCATATTTCAAAGCTTTCTTTCATTTTACTTACTCTTTTCAACACTTCAATCTCGTTGGTCAAAAAAGAAAAAAAAAAAAGAATTGACAATAGTGATGGTGATGATGATGATGGAATATTTCTTTAAAATGATCCATCGTGAACCTCGGAATTATCATTTATGGCTGAAACCTTAAGAAATTTCAGTAAAGAAAAAGCGGTCATGTCGTTTGAAAACAGCTTCTGATCTGATAAAGAGTCGTTAGATGAATACGAACTTCCTGAATAAGTCAAATGACGACTCCTGGCTTACTGTGAAGGTGTTCTGATCGTGTATTCAAAAACTTCCAGTAACTACCAAATTTCTTACCTTGCGTCATTATTTTACTTAACGTATAACGATCAATTTTTGGTGCAATAATTATATTTACTATGCATTAAACTAATAAACGAAACAAGGTGTTACATTATAAGTTCTTTGTTCTCATTTGAAACATAATAGGTAAGCATTTGGAGTAGCGGAAAGAATTTTCATTTTTTCAAGGAACCTACTGGATTCAAGACCGATAATCGACAATAAAACCGGATCAAACCTCGCATATCGAAATACGAAATTACATTAAAACTTTTTTCGTCTGCTCAACCTACTACATCACTCTAATTGACCATCAAATTTACACAAGTATTAAACATCAACTAAGAATGGTTTTTTTTTTTGTTACTAGGTGTTACTAAGAAAAACTTGTTACTTGTTACTAGGAAAAAACTAGACGTCATACCCATAACGTAAAAGTTAAAGAATGGTCATTTTTGACCAAATTTAATAGTTCAACAAAAACTTATAAAACTAATTTTAATATTTTTGGCAGCTTTGTAACATCCATTAAGCAAGTGCTTGAATTGTAGGTGTAAACTGGGTTCAGTCGTCAAAGGTAATGCATCGTGAGCCGCTATAAAATAGATTCCAGAAAGCTTTATTCTAAGAAATCAGTAGAGAGTATCAGCTCAGTAAAAGTTTTTTGGGAAAATCTTTTTTTAAACAACTAATTCACTACATTTTAACCAAAAAACTGCAATAATTAATAATGACTTCAAGAAATGAACGTGATCGGCAATGAACATTATCTGTAGTTATGGTACCAGAACAACAATTGACCACTTAACTAGACGAATGATGAGTAATTAATTTAATTTAAAAGTTTCTCCTAGTTAACGAAATTACAGATTCTGATGATTTGAGCATGCATTATTAAACTCTGGAACGTATTTTTTGAAATGGTTATTCCCTTCTATTTGAGTGGATTAACAGCTACCTATCAAAGGCCACTTAGCTCAAGTAATTTCTGGTCACCTTAATAAATCCGTTTAAATCAACTTCAGTGTTTACCACTCGACCAAATCTTTACAACACAGTCCTCTCCGCTGCAAGGAATACTCCATGCGCACAGTTCATCAAAGAATTTTTAAAAACAGTCTTCCTTAGTCGAAAAGAATTTCCCTTAGCTACAGTGATGCTTTAGATGTATTGAAAAAGTTTTTGCTCTGTAAGTGTTTTAAAACTCAGTTGTATTGCTGTCTGAAGCAGCCTCATCCTTTCTTTCCCGTATCGGTCAAGCAGCCCATTGCTAGGAACCGCACAAAGAAACTCCACCCGGCCCATCAAAGTAATGTAACGAAAGACGAGGTAGTGGATTGACGAAACCCTTGGCCGAAACTAAGAATTAATGAGAATTCTGCAGAGAATTCCGCACTTTTTGGCCGTTTGCCAACTTTACAACGTGAATGAGTAACCAAAAGGGCTCATTCTTCAGTGAAAAAAAAATGTACCAAAGAAAAAAAGTAGTGATGTTGTAATTGGCAACAATTCATCCGGTCTTTTGAGTTACTTCTGTATCGCTTTGAAACATCCAGAATTTGTAGGTGAGTACAGCATAACACTGTTGGCAACAATTTGTTAAGTTTAAGTGTCATGCATTTTAGGGAAATATTTACGCAATATTTATGCTGAGGTAGTATCTCACGCAGGGAACAGAACTTACATTATTGCAGCCATTTTCTGGTTCCCAATTGCTGCCACAGATCTTTCATTCACTGAAGAAATTCAGTAATATAGCGAGTGTTCATGTCAGCTATTTTTTTTGAAGCTGGAATTTAGTAGTTTCTGTTTTGAACGTTTTATGTGATTGATCATCAGTTCTATTTGATTATCATCGTACCGTTACATTTTGCCAGCAAAAGTCGTTCTTTTGAAACTTAGCAGACAAGTTCTGGTAATCGTTCCTTCTTCACATTAACTTACAGGGATGCCTGAAGAGCATGAAGATGAGAGTGTAAACATTTGCGAGAATCCTGACTGTAACAACCCAGCAAGTCGTAGGTGTCCAACATGTGTAAAGCTCGGGATTAAGCCTGCTTTTTTTTGTTCACAGGTAATCATTCTTCATGTTTGCTAAAAAAGTCAAGAACTATTCCAGTTGGTGAGTGCGCAAATGGCAGCATAATATAGATGAAAGTTAATAACA